ACCCCACCACACACACACACACACACACACACACACACTTGAAATAAGACAAATGAAGACCAAAAACACACGATGAAGGGGAAAGGCTTTTGGAAGTGCCATTTGGGATTCACCTTGACTAAATGATGGGCAATGTTTTGTAAAAGGTGCTTTGTTCTCAAGTTGCCTTGTAGAGTGTGTAGCTTTAGATAACTCAAAGTTTCTGACTTGGAAGATTCACCTCTTGTGGCAACGTCAAACAGCCAAAGACAAATTATACGGGCTCCATGAAACGCCCCTAAAGTAGGGCTACGTTTTATTTTGCTTCCAGCAAGAAGCTATAAAATATACAGAAAGTAGAATTTTACCTCCTGGCAACATCCTGTATTTTTCTCTGAAGCATCTGTAGCTACTGTTTCCACACACCTTCCTGTATTTGGCTTTCCTGTCCTGCTTCCAAAAAACCTACTGTCAGTTGTTTAACAGTTTTGCTAGCAAATCGGGCAGTGGGAACTTTTTCTTGCTGTGCTTCTTTGTTCTCCTGTGTTTGAAGAGTCTGTTATTTTCCTGCACCTGCAGAGCCTGTTAATATCCTCAGACGGTTCAGTTCCTTGACTACATAGCAAACCCACACTGACTGAAATGCCGTCGGATGCATCTTCCTTCCTCTTTTTTAAAATGATCCCTATCATACTCTTCAGTCTTGATTGCCATCCCATACGCAGCAAAGGCTGAACAATGGAGGAACATAATTTGATTCAATTCAGTGGAACTGGTCCCACTATGAAGAGGTTAACCTTAAAAAAGAGACCAACTCAGAGTATTCATTAGGGGCACGTTGTTGGCCACAGTAACTGGTATGTAATAAACACAAGGACATAGGAAATGACAGCAGCAAAGGCTGGTGATATCTGAAAGCAAGAGTGCTAAATTAACAAGTCAAGGCGCATTCAGACCCATTTTACTGCAGCAGGTAATCACACTACTCAAACTAGGGGAGACAAAGCTTTACCCAAAGGAACTTCCATTGAATTATGGGATGGAATAAGACTAGAACACGACCTGGTTCTGTTTGTCCAGTCGGTTCAAACAGTGGGAGATTGTTAAAGACCTGAACCCCGGAATGATTTCCTCATTATGCACTTCTACATCAAAATGTTATACATCATTTTAAATAGATAGAATAAGATAGATTATGCCCCCTTAAATCAATACACAAAGGGGTCCATGAGTGAGAAGGTGGAGGCTGAGTAAGGCTTGCTAGGATCCAAACTGTTCTCCTCCCGGTTCCATTGAAATCACAGACTGGGGCAGTATTATCGTCTCTGTGGAGTTCCCACAAGGTCCAAGGCTGGGGAAGAAGCCCTGATAGTGCTTCTCCAATGGAGCTGTTGGGGTATGCCAGGGGCTAAAGCCAGTGTAGGAGGCACAATGCATCCATGCAGGTGGTCCTGGCCTTCCAGGGATCCATAAGGAACAGCTGAGTTAGAGGACTGGCTCTATGGTCATATCTGGTTTTGCTGTTCTAATAGAACAATGAGATTTCCTCCCTCAGAGACACCTCTCTTTTGATGGGATGTGATGATCTGGGCCCTTACCTTTTATGCCTTGTTCCAGCAATTCAGTCTAGCCTCATCCTGATGCCACAAATCAAGGGAACTTTGTTACATGTCTTAACAAAAAGCCATAGATCAGGGCTTCATTGTGTTAAGGCCCCTGGATGCTACCATGATACAAATAATGAAAAAGAATAATAAGGCACTTGTCACCTTTCATAAAAACTTGAAACGTTGTCCTTGACACTTACTATTCCATGGCCACGAATTCATGCTTCATTGGGATCCTGATGGTATTATGTATCACATCTGCATGAATCCCCAAAATATTAAACATTTTAACAAGGAATAGCAAATAACAGGAATGCACAGTACAGCTATTGGGCTGACTTCTCTACATCAAAGCAAACCACATGTAACCCATGACTAGCCCCTCTAATTTTCATTTTCATGGAAGAAGGTAGAAAATGTAACATACCTCCTTGGAAGATACAGGGAAATTGTTCAGTACTTGAGTGAGCCAAGATGAAAGAATGGCCAGAGAGGGGAGCTTTGTTTCATGAGATATGCCTCTGTGTAGATTTAATGTTTGAGAGCTATATAAGCTATAAACTCTGCTCGACATCTTGATCTGTAATTGTACATCAGTCATAAATGTTACATTTTCAACCTGGGTTGGATTTTAAATGAATGGCTTTTTTTTTTTCATGAGAGAACTGGGTAATTGGCAGAGCTGTGCAAAATGACGACCCAAAAATGCATCATTTCAGTCTGAGCCATTTGCAACGCAGAAATGTTTGGGTGCAGGTCATTTGCAAATCAAAAGCACGAGAAATGCCAAGTGTTGCATGGCCACCACCCAAGAGATCTTTTGAAATTTAAATATGAAAATAGGAAATTACTAAATATTCATGATTTCTTTCAATTTTGCTTGAAATTTTTTGAGTGAAAATTGGTGCATTTTTCACTCCAGTAATGCCTTATTTCTTTACCAAGACCCACATAGTTGGATGAGGTTTGGTATGGGAAAAGATGAAAAATCAATTTTTTAGGTTTGTTGAAAACTTTGCTCTTGTTTAATAAGAGGGAACATTGATTTACAACAGGTTAAATAAATATAGTAAATGCGCTGTATAAATCGGGCCTGATTCTCCTCTCACATTGGCATAAATCAGGAATAGCGCCATTAAAAACCAGGGAGTTCTGCTGCTATGAAGCCAGTTAAGTTAGAGGACAATCAGGATCCTTATGCAATAGTTCTACCCACTACAAACATACCACAGCCCAAGAACACTTATACTTCCGCTATGTTTACACTACGAGCTAGAGGAGTGATTCCCCTGTTGGCGTACACACACTCACGCTAGCTCTCGGCAAGCTAGTGTGACTGTAAATAACACTGTAGCCATGGTAGCACAGGTAGTAGTGGTAGTGGAGGCATGGCCTAGTCTGAAACCCATGGGTATGTATTTCACATGGCTTAGCCGTGGCCTCCACTGCTACTACCCATGCAGCCACAGCTACGCTGCTATTTGTACTCTCACTAGCTCCGACTGTGTGCACACTCACAGGGGAATCACATCCTTCGCTTGTAGTGTCAATGTAGCCTTCATCTGGCAGTTCTACTGAGCCCCTAAAGCATGGATCGGAGGAAACATCCCCTGTCTGCTAAAAACCCCAGGACTAGCTCGCCACTTGTTTTTTTTTAAACTTTGTGCTGTCATTAACCAACTGGATGTAAAATGCGACCCTTAAGGTGTGAGTGGCTTACACTTTGCACAGGTGTGACAACACCAGGTGCAAGACAGGTCCATCACGTTTCCTGTGTTGTGAGCACAGATTTTAAAATCTCTTCTTTAAAAGCTCAATGAGGATGACAAGTGACTTGGAGAGTCGCAATCTGCCTTGCAGTTTACCCGAGGCAGAGGGCAGCTGGGGGGACATGGACCCTGTACCAGCTCAATGCCTGGCATGGTATGTGTCTCAGCCAGTGTGCAGGCAGACTGGGCTCCACCCACTCCCTGCCCACTTGCTCAGGAGAGGGAATAGCAGCCCTGTGGAGACTCCATGCCATCCTGGCAATGCCAGTACCTGGTGCAAGGAAGTATGGGGGTAGGTGCACAGGAGAGGCCATAATCTGGCCCGGCATAAGATTTGTGAACTTTGTGTACTGATCTGTATTTCTTATGTCAATCAAAGCTCAGCAGAGAATGCGACTCCATCCTATGTCACTTGGTACAGAACCCTTGGCTTATTTTATTTTTAAGCGACAGCTGAATTTTCAGGAAGAGCCATGTGTGTTTCATTTCCCCATCTGTGGCATCCTTTCTAGGAATCAAAGACATGTAGGGCTGGAGGGGACCTCAAGAGGTCATCTAGTCTATCCCCCTCCACTGAGACAGGATTACATTCTAAAATCACATGATGAAACAAAACATCTAGTGTATTTATTATAACCAAATACCCAAAAGTTTTAAACCTGTGTTGGAAAATCTGGCCCAGTGCCACAGTTTCCTGATCTGCAAAATGGGGATGATAATATTTATCCAACTTGTAAAGTGTTGTGATATGCTCAGGTGAGAAGGTCTAAGGAGAAGATGTCATGCTTAATACTTAGTCCTACCATGAGTGCAGGGGACTGGACAAGATGACCTCTCGAGGTCCCTTCAGGTCCTATCATTCTATGCCTTCTCTGGCTGATAAACCAGAATCTCTCTAAGGGCAACATAAAGTAGAAAAAAATTAAAAATGGAAAATGTTTATTTCAAAAATGAGATCACATAAATGGTATGAAACAGTAAAATGGAGATTTCATTTCTTTGTGTCTAATAAACACTTTTATTTTCTTCTCGTACCACCAACAGGATTTCTTTTTAAATAAGCGGGTTTACAAAGAAATAGATTTGTTCTTGCAATAGTTCCTTTTGAATTACATTCCCCTGCCGCCCTTTAAACAGTACATGCACATCCCCTCTCTCAGTGCTCCCTTAATTTTATTTTTTAATTTAAATTTCCCTTATGAGAAATCAGATATATGCCTGGTTTATTTCTGAATAGCATTTCTTTTAGTCCCTGTAAAGTTGTCCATGTTTCCTCCCTCCCCCCCCAAAATGTATGTGCTGATCTTCTGTGTTCTTTAATACCTTTCAGGAGATTTCCATTCTCTGCATCAAGTCTTCCTAAATTGTCTCTTTAATCCCCAGGTTCTTAGTGCTTGGCAATGCTCCTTGTTCTGAAGTGCTGCGATCGGAAGGTGGAGTTTTCTTCTCATTAGCTGCTTTTAACATTCACCTCCTTTGTTTGTGTATCTTCTTTAGATCCCTTCCCTTTGTGGGCAGGGCTTTGCTGTTGCGAAGTGTTAATGAGCCTGTGGCAGGGATGACATCTGTGACAGAGGACATTAGGTTTTGAAAATGTACTTCTTGTGTTATGAGGCCTGTTACCTCATTTGAGCAGCAACTGAAGCTTTTAAAGAGCAAAGACAAAGGAAACACTAGCTGAGGGCTGCTACTTTTTGTCATGACGGAAGTCCAAGGAAGGGAATCCGGGAGGGGGAAGGGGGAGATATGGAACATTTGTAAGGGGGGAGGAGAAAGAGAGGGATATGGTGAATTGATCTGAAAATACTGTGAGTCACTTAAACAAATACCTGGCATAGGAATAAACTGGTATAGAATACAGCAATGGCACATCCATCTGTTCACATCCTTTATATTCGATTCCATAGTCACGGCTATCGGAGGAAGGAATAAAACTGGTAAAGCCGTGCAATCATAGGCACGTAGGCTGCATCTTACCGAGCAGATTAAACTAGTGATTTGCAGCCTCTGGGCTGCAAATAGATGTCAGGGGGTCACGACCATCATGACCTTCCTATGTTGTCAAAGGAAAGGGGGGGTAGATCCCGGCTAGATGGGATGGTGGATCCCAGTATGGGAAGGGTTGATTCACCCCTGCATTACTGCAGGGTGACACCAGCGTGACCCAATTGGAAGCTGGTGGATCAAGGCCTTAGTCTTAATTCCAGCAGCGAACACCTGTTATTTCAGAGGAAAGTGAATGTACCTGGATAACTGTTCAATGCTTTATAAATATGGAGGAACGGAGCTGGTTCTAGACCGATCTGACTTTGCTGCTCTTGCCCCTGTCAGAGAGCCTGGGCTTCTTTGGCCACATGCATTACACCTCTCTTGGAAGAACCATCCTGATAAAGTAGCACTTCCAGATATGTGTCACCGTTAAAGTTTTCCTAATAAAATAACGTGTAGTGCCCAGGGGCTTTGACATATGTTTGAGAAATCTGTAAGCAAACTATTTATCAGAATGTAGATATTTGTGGAAAAGTAAAAAGCCACCTTTACTGGAGGGGGAAGCGGAGGGGAATAATGTGAATTTGGAAGCTATAACAGCAGCTGCCAGATGGCCTAAGGGATTAATCCAGTGGTTCTCAAACTGGGGCCGCTGCTTGTGTAGGGAAAGGGCCAGGCCAGTTTGTTTACCGGCCGGGTCCACAGGTTCAGCCAATCGCGGCTCCCACTGGCTGCGGTTCGCCACTCCAGGCCAATGAGGGCTGCAGGAAATGGCGGCCAGCAAATCCCTTGTCCCGCACCGCTTCCCACAGCCCCCATTGGCCTGGAGCAGTGAACCGCGGCCAGTGGGAGCCACAATCGGCCGAACCTGCGGACCCGGCAGGCAAGGCCAGCTCTGGATTTTTTGCCACCCCAAGCAAAAAAAAAAAAAATCTGTGGGGCGGCCGGAGCACCGGTGCAGGGGGACTCCCGGCACTACAGACCTGCCCCGGGCAGCAGGGGGACGGGGAAAGAGCAGGGGGAGAGAGAGAAGGAGGGCCAGGGCTTTCTTCAGCGGGGCGCTCACCACGCGGCCCCTCCCGCCGCACCGCTCCGGTCAGCGGGCAGGGAAGGACGCGGGCTGCCCTGCCAGGCTTGCTACAGACCTGGCACCAGCTGGGGCAGACGGAGTGCGCAGCCCGCTCCCAGCAGGGCGCTCCCCTCCTCTGCGCCGCTGTCCCCTACAGGGCGGCCGGAGCGGCAAACCAAAAAGAAAAAAACCTGCAGGGCGACCAAAGCAAAAAAAAAAGGATTCGAGGGAATGCCGCCCCTTAGAATCTGCCGCCCCAAGCACAAGCTTGTTTGGCTGGTGCCTGGAGCTGGCCCTGCTGACACGTATAAAAAACCGGCCCAGCCTGCCAGGGGCTTTCCTTACACAAGCGCCGGCCCCAATTTGAGAACCACTGGATTAATCCCTGGTCTAGGAGCAAAGAAGTCCTGCATACTAATCCCACCTATGCCACTGACTGATTAGCTGTTCATTACATAGGTTAGGGTTACCATACGTCCGGTTTTTCCCGGACATGTCCGGCTTTTCGGCCAAATTGCCAAAAAGCCGAACATGTCCGGGAAAAATACCGGCCGGGCACTTCCTCTCCCGCGGCTGGTCTGCTCCTCCCTGGACTCAGACTTCGGCTCTGTTTAAGAGCCAAGCTGCCCGAGCTAGCGCTACCGGCTTCGGGCAGCCCCCGTGCCTCCGGACCCTGCGTCACCAGAGCAGAGCAGCTGGAGCCGGGGAGGAGAAGTGCCCTGCTGGCAGCTGGGGTCCGGAGGCAAGAGGGGCTGCCCGAAGCCGGTAGCGCTAGCTCCGGCCGCTTGGCCCCTAAACAG